AGTACTTGGACCGGTTGTCCGCTTTCAGGCTGCAAAGCTGCTGGTCATCTTCCTCTGTCCAGGCGCGAGGTACTTCCGGGGGAGTTCCTGGGTTGCCGGCATCGGAGTGAGCATGAGCAGGAGGTTCGGGAAGGGATTCAGGAGAGGAGAACAGGCCAGCGCAAGGAGAGACCGGAGCTGGAGCTGGAGTGCGAGGCGCTGGACGTGCTGGAGGTTCCGGGGAGTTCGTCTTCTCGGAGGATGTAGCGCGGCATCGCTTCCGCTTTGTTCTGCGTCGATCGGTCCCACCCTTGTCCATGATGGAGCGGGGAATATTGGCCTTCTTGATGCTCAGCTGACCAGCATAGGTGTGCGCCATGGAGCTCTTCGAGCGCGGGTCTATAGCCTCGTTGGTGTCCCCCGTGATGATGCCGTAGGACAACGACTTGGGGTTGGCCACTGCGTTGCGCTTATGGTCCGCGTGTAGCTGGAGTGACTGAAAGCCGACTGGTGGTGGAGGGTCGGCCAGATCCTCCGAGTTGACCGAATTCAGAATCACCGGGCCAGGTGGTTCCACCTCATCGAGTCCAGCATGATCGTGTGCTCGTGGTCGCGATGATTCTGCCAGCGACAGGCCTCGGACATGTTGCTGCCGCAAGCGACCTTGCCCGTCATGAAGCCTGCGACTGTGTGCCTCGTCAGCCTGATTCAGGGTCTCCTGGATGAGCTGCATCATGTCCGCAGCGTTCTGGGTCATACGGTGGTGAAGTGCTATCATGCGTCCGAGCATGACGACCGCTTTCCGATGTCGGCGAGAAGGCCCACGTCTTGAACCAGCAGACAAGCTCCGTGATCAACACAAGAGTCAAGGGACCCCGGAACCCAAACAGAAGAAGAAGAGCACCCGAGCGCAACAGCCCAACCGAGCCAGACCCGGTCCGGAAGAAGACCGAAACAAAACCAACAAGAGCGAGCCACAAAGCCAAACATCGAAAAACAGCGACAATCGGCTCTTAAACGTTCTTTCCGGTTGGGATTGCCGGGAGATGAAACAGGTGCTGCAGGTCAGCTGACTTGTAGCCGGCGGACAAATAAATACTGCGAAGCTGATCCAATGCCATCTGCACTGCTCGGGCCGGGTGCGCGTACTTGGTGGCAAGGGCTGACCGTGATCTGGCCCCGGAGAGAAGGGTGGAGAGACTTCCTGCAGTGTGGGGTCCTCTGATCTCGATCTGCCAGATGTTTGTTGGGGTTTTGTAGTAAATCGCACGGTCGCCCACGTCGATCACGAAGCCGAGGAACTCAGAGGATCCCACCTGTTCCAACACGAAGCAAAGCCTCCAATGGAGCTGCTGGGTGACCGGAAGCCGGAGACGGGAAGATCACAAATCTGTTGTCGACATATCGCTCCAGGAAGATATTGTGACTGGCGAACCATTGTCCGTAGATACGCTGCCAAAGAACTTCGTGCCTCGCGACGCAGATGTGACTGAGAACTGGACTCAGCTGAGAGCCAATCGCTGTCCCGTGGACTTGGCGCAGAATGAGAGTCCCCACCTGGACATACATGCATTGGAAGCTGGATTTGACGATATCCAGAATGTCCTCCACATAAATGACTCGCGTGGTCGGCGTACGTCCGTAGGATTGCTTACCCGCAAAAACCCGATTGTAGTGGACAGCCGCCTGAGTTTCCACTGAATAGATGAGACCAGGATGCTCTCGCCGGTGCTCTGCTAATAGCTGCTCGACTGCTGCGCACACTTGATCCTGAGGGACACTGTTGAAGAAGCCGACCAAATCGTCATTGTGGAATGCAAGGGTGACTGTATCGTCTGTGTTGTCAAAGTAATGTTTGACGTTCTGCCATATCCTCGGCGTGGGGTGTATCCCCCACGAACACTTCCATGTACCCGCGGCGATCTCGCCGAGGAGGATTGCAACCGCTTTAAAGAGCTGCCGATGTACCACCTTATGGTAGGCTATAATAGTCCGCCCCGATTTCCATTGGCTCGGAAATGAACTGCGTGTTCAGCCCAAACAAAGCCAACTCAACGACAAGATTCATCCAAGATACAAAACCCTCCCCTCGAACAAACAAAACCAAGATACAAAACATATGAAGATCCTTTAAGGAAACATGGAAACAATGGAAAACAAGAATGAAGGAGCCAGCCACAAGCACGTTTCCTGGCCTTGATCTCCTGCTCCTGCTTCTGCGTATCGGTGAGCTCCTCGAGAAGCGAGTCCGACGGCACGTGCCCTTTTTCTGTCAATTGTAGGACTGGCTTCTGGCGGGTGACAAAAATAGGTCAGTATCCTGGCCAGCTTGCCAGTGGACATCAGCTGTTCAAGGCTTGCACCGCCCTTCCAACGGTTAAGTGGAAATTTGTTTTCTGGACCAGGGCTATTTTAATGGAGTGTTTTCTGGGCGGCAAGAGAAGAACTCCACAAAAAGTTCCTGTCTGGGCGAGGCAGACTGCAGGAAGGCAGTCATCAAAACCGCTTGCCCAGGATCCTT